TTCATAGAAGCCCAGTTTTTACTGTTAAAACAGTTTAAAATGGGGGTAGTTTGGGGAACTTTGGATGAAGCTGTATAAAAATCATTATGTTTGTCTTAAAAACATTTATTAAGTAATAAGCGTGAGCATTGTGACACAAAAAGTCACATTTGCAGGTGTATGTCATGGTCTTCAGCACAGCGGCAGATACTTACTGTCAAACTTTGAGCATATAATAATAACAGGTCGTCATACTGTAGGCGGCGTATATACCGGATGTCAAATAAATGAACTTCCTGTCAGGAGGAAAGCCCTGGAAATAGTCAGTAAAATTAACTTTTAGGTTCTCTTTTTTTTAATTAAACTGTGTACTTTGTTCTACATCTGAGTTAACGTGTCCGTTAAACGCACAGCAGCTCGTCAGCTGTTAATGTTGTAATGCAAGTACAGTGTGGTGCAGTTTTACAGGCATCTGCGTGTCTTCCTTTTTCCCCAAGCTTGAGGAAAGAAATTAATGGTTTAATAGAGCACAGAACGGGCTAACATTTGGTGAAATGTCTGACTCCCCCCTCCCCCCACTTTACCGCTTGTGAAAATCGCAGTGAAAAAAAATGTTCTCCACCCCAACACACACCCCTTTGTGACAAAGGTTATTTTTATACTCACCTGAGAATTAATGTTGCTGTTATTTGGTTTCATGTTCTTCGAAGAGACGATAGTGAAGTGTTTGTTTGAGACATTTGTGTGTTCCTGCTTTGAAGTATTGTTGTACATTGACAGGGTGTAAAGTTTTCCCATTCAACAGTTGCTGGTGATGAAAACGGATGTTAATGACTGCACAGTCTACAACAAAAATGATCTTTAGTCATGCATTCCCCCCCCCAGTACCGCATATTGCACACTAATGGGATATTATTTTTACTCCTGTGTTAATTTTATTTAATTTTTTTAATCTCAGTAACACTCTGAACTGAAACTAATTTGTTCAAGTTTAATCAGTTGAGAACAGATGCACATCTACAGACTTTTGTATCGTTGGCTCAGTGTGCAGCTCTTTCTTTTAAAATGTAATGATTTTATTCTAAGTTCGCACTACATCACTTAAAATCACCAAGTCAGCCAGTGTTTGTATCTGCACTTCATGGCCACTTTTTCCCTATCAAATCTTTTATTTTGCTCAAAATGCTAAACTGCATCCCTTCGATGGATTTTTCTTTTAATAAAGTCCAGTGTTTTTAAATCTGCTGTGCTGTTGTTATTTGAAAATGGGATTCCTGTATGAGGTGAAGAAATGCTGACCTGGTAGAAGATTTCAAGGCCATCATTCTACATTGACCCAACATTCAAAATAGTTTCCAATCTTCGTAAAATTCATACGCCACAGGTGTATAAAACCAAGCACCTAGGCATGCAGACTTCTACAAACATTTGTGAAAGAATGGGAGCTCAATGAATTCCAGCTTGGTACCATGATAGGTTGACCATCTGTGCAACAAGTCCAATCATGAAATGTCTTAACCTACTAAATATTCCAAACTCAACTGTGAGTGGTAGAAGCAAATGGGAATGACGGCAACAGCCAAGAAGTGGTAGGCCTTATAAAATCACACGACGAGGTTGTAGCATAAGCTGAGGCAAATAACAGATCAAGAACAGAGCGCTTCAAGGACCGAGTTTCCATGGCTGAGCAGCTGCGTCCAGTGCAATGCAACGCGTCAGACACAGTGGTTTAAAGCAGGGGTTCTTAACCTTCTTTTGACCTCGGGCCCCAACTTTTCCACTACAAAGTGCCCCGGGGCCCATTCAGATATTAACTGTATTGAATACATTATTGCTTTTGGTTTGATTTATATTTAATAACTAAATCAAATCGACTTCATTTTAACAGCTAAAACTCATCTTTTCTCTTCATCTGCATTTTTGATCTGAAAGTAGAAACAACTATAACGAGGAGAAATGGAATTTTATAGGTGACAGATTGTTCTTCTGACCAATAAGCTGGAGTCAGAACCTGTGATTTATCCTCCCTGACTATTGAGTGATTTTATATGCTGATGTTATTTTCCTGTTTTGAGTCAAACTAAATTTCTCTATAGGAACTCTGTGTTAAAGGCTCAATGCACCAAATTGAGTTTTGATAAGAGTTCTTTTCTCATGCGAGGAAAGACACAAACTGCTCAGAGGGATTAAAGTTAAATGAGCTCATAGCACTACGTTGGCTTTATCAGCCCTGCACAGAACAGATCGGTCTTAGACTCTTTGATTCTCTTAAATAAGTAGAATCTGAAACTGAAGGTTTTAGATTAAATCTGATTCCTAAATTAAGAAGTAAATCTTAAAGAATAACCTAGGTTTGTAATTTGGAACAAAGTTGGGTTAACTAAAACTATCTTGAACTGTGGAGGGTTAGCTGCAAACCTTGAACTGGTCTAGTACCTTTTATATCTGCCTTACTGTGACATAAGTGCTGCAAAAGGGTTTTATCTCCTCTCTCTGTCTATCTCTCAGTCTCTCTCTCTAAAATATTCATTTTACTTTATTTTCTCTATATATGATGTAGGTTTGAATTTTCCCTGCTAAATTGTAATGGTCTGGGAGTCTCCTACGTTCGACCTGCCTGTATGTATGTTTGTTTATGTTTTGTTTTGGCTTCTTCCTTTAAGTGTGTGGGTGTATGTGTGTGTGTATTCTAGCGTGCCAGTTTATGGGCGCCATCAGGCCGGAAGGTGTTTCCCGTGTTGAAGCCGCCACACCTGTCTGCCGTCTAGATTGGCCACTACTTAACTGTTTGACTGAGCTTCAGTCAACGCTGGATTGTTGAGTTACCAAGTAAGTGAAGTCCCAGCTCTGAGTGGAAATAGTCTGTACGTGTGTTTCTCTGAGTTCACCGCTCTGATCTCTGTACCTTGTCTTGTGTGTCACAGGAGCGAAGTGTTTGTAAATGTCGAGTGTTGGAGTTTTTTCCTGTCACACCTGGACCACCAGCACAGTCCTGCAGGATTGGAAAGTCCTGCATTTGGGCCCCGTTCTCACCACACACCTTAACATAAATAATAAACACTTTGATTGAGAAACAGCATTTTGTGTTTACTTTTTTTTTTTATATTTGTCTAATATTCAAATTTGTTTAATGATCTGAAACACTTTTTCACATCAATGTATTCACGTAGAAGTTCTGTTAAAAAACTATGAACAGAATCATTTCAACAATGTGAACCAAGCTGTCACTGCAACTGTACTAATGCCCAGTTTGCAGCAACAGACATGATGCCTCATACTACAAAACAACCCCGAGAGATGCGGTTAAATGCCGTCTTCAATTCCAAAAAAGCCACACACATATCAACCAGTTGGGCAAACTTGTCAACACTGTTCTTCAGAGGATAAAGTGCTGGTCCTTTGTTACACCACAAGACTTCAACACAATGTTGGAGACGTGTGCCACCCAGGAAACACAAGAGCCTTAAGGCCATTTCCAGAACTTTTTAAAATTTAATTGTAATTCTAAGAATCATTTGGCACATGGTGTTTTGGAAATGTAATTAATGATCAAATGGTAACTACAACAACAACAGCAATAATAATAACAGTAAAAATAATAATAATGGTGGTACTAAGACTGATGATAGTTACTATTGATGATTACTAATAGTATTAAGAGTTTCACTTTCTCCACCTTGAGGTAAACTTGTTTATTTGCAAAGAGAAGTAGAGGCATGGCAGTATATGGATGATTCAGATTCACTAACAAACACAAAAACTAAATTTGTACAGGTTTTCTGTATTTTTGTGTGTGCATTTGTTTGTTTTTTACACGAGATAAGAATGTTTCCAAACACATACTGAGTGAGGCCCAATGTTTTTCATATGAAAATTGTATCTACTTAGTCCTGCCTGTATGTTCCTTACATTGCTACACTGATGTGAATGCACAATTTTAAGGGTTTAACCAGCCAAAAGGAAACGGTCATGGTTGCAGGGAAATCAGATGTCAAGAGGGAATGTGCCACTCCACCTTGGAAGATGAGGGACAATTCAAACTTTTTATATTTTGTGTTTATTGGTTCTTGGAACATTCAGAGAATATCCTGACCACATTATTGAAGTTTACAGATACAGTTACAGTACATCTGTATGTGCACAGCTGTGGTCCAGTGGAGCCTCAGCAAGGATGAATACTGTCAGAAACTGAGGTTAGACATGAACCACCTCATGTTGTGTAACTTATACGGACTATACAGTACATAAAATAAAAATTCACATGTTTTATGTAACTAAAATGTTTAATTATGTGAGTTAAAGAAAATAAGAACCCCTAACACCTAATGAAATGTTTCTTATATTTTTTTAATGACCACATTTTGTCATATTTATATATTTATTCATTTTCACGTTTTCATATTGAGATTTACGTTCACATCTATTACCAAATGTTTCTTGTCTCATAAATCTTAATATTTGTATTGTTAAAAATTCTCTGGTTCTGGTTCCAGTCTAGTCTATAAACTTTAATTTACACCAATTTAAACTTTTCGATTGCTCATTGGATAATGAAAATATACAACCGAAACCCTATCCACCCAACAATAAATTTAGCTTATTGCTCTTTTTTTAAATACACAGTCAGTATAGGCTGTTGCTATTGTTTAGCCTAATTGTGGGTTCAAGATGTTTAAGTACGCCCAAATGCAACAGAAAAGTTTGATATGAAAAAAAAAAAAAAACACATGAAGGAAAAACGAAACGGATATGGGACACTTTTATTTTATTATATTTCCTGTTAGTTTGGAAACCGGCGACAGGGGACGTACCATAATACAAATAACCTCGGTGATCATATCTATGGTATAAACTTTTTGTATGAAATATATTTCAATTACTGATAATCTTTCGTCACACAACATATAGTTCACACAAAATTAATATCAAAAAGGTTCTAAAACTTAATCCTCTGCGCGACCATGATTTGAAATAAATATAATGTTGACATAGTGACACCCCTCACGGCAGAGTTGGTCTCGCCCGAGTTCCCTGGGCATCAAACGCACATGTTTTCACGTCGGGTGTGTTGTGTTAAGGATTGTTCCAGCGTTAACAGCATTTCTGAAATATCTGTTTGTTGTCACGCTTCTGTTCGCTCTCCAGAGACTACATTTACAAACAGTGAAGCACCGCAGTCAATGAGAAATACTTTCAAATCAGCGTCTGTCGAAAACACTAGAGCCGAGGAGGCTGACTCGTGGCTGCATGCTGCCGCTGACTTCACCAGACTAGAGGTATGAATGCTGTCAGCACACATTATATGTGTGTGTTTGTGTAGCCTTTCGTGACGCTTCTTTATTTCGGATACGCATGACTTCGTGTTGGTATTAGCATGAGTGATCGTTGCAGCGAGTTTGCCGGTAGCAGCGCTGGGCTAGCTTCTCGTTCCTTGTTGTTAACAGCCCCATGTGAACAGTGTGCTGCTCATTCGGCTAACAACAGTATCAATTAATCTAATCAAAAGGACACAAAGAGGCGAGACAATTCAGGGAGTAGTGAGTCAGCTTGTGCATTGAATAGGTCTCGCTTTTAGGCAAGAAAAGTTAGAAAAACCCGAGTTAGCCGGCGGCTGCTGACCAGTGCCACGTAGCTGGCCGGCTAATGGGAGGAGAGCCGCGAGCAAGTTGTTCACAACCGCTGCAGGAGGCTGCATCATGAAACCAACAAGATGGACTGCCAGTGGGAGAAGCACTACCCTATAGACCTCTTTAATCCGAGTAAAAGTACTGATACGGCGGAGTACAATTCTCTTTTACATGCAATAGCCTCCGGTATTCGAGGGATTACCCTCCCAGGGGGCCAAAAGTTAGAGACCACCTGTGTTGTGTTGCGCCCTGCTGACTTCATGCTTGGATTACTGAACAGGGAGGAGCTCCGGGAATTTGAAAGTGTAATATAATATAAGTTTTAGCATCAAAACATGCATACACTTGATGATCCGATACTGTGTGCAAAGCAGACAAACTTGGACTCCTCAGTTATTATAAGTGGTGATTTTAAGAAAGCAAACCTCATCCTGAAAGTGCCTAAACACAGCTAGTTTGTTACATGCTCGTCCAGATCCCTATTACACTACAGTAGACAGTGCTAATCACATGGTCCCTGTGACATAACTGGTAACATTTCTTAACAGAATGTCAATCCAAAGACCCAAAGTGATTATAAAATTTTGCAAACTGCCCAAAAAGAGAGGCAGCATAACTGCACACATGTATAATCAAAGGTACAAAAAACAAAAGATGTCAGTGGACCACAATGAAACACATACCGACTACAGAGACACAAGGTGGCTCCTTTCCTCTTTCTATGTAGGGAGCCAGTTATGTACTTAAGCTACTTCCTGTATTTACTGGCCTTATCTTTTCCCATCAGGCTTTGAGACTTGAGGAACGACACCATGAGCTCCAAGGTGTGTAAGAACTGTGGCAGTTCGGATATTGATGTCGACCATGCACGCGGCGATGCGGTATGCATGGGCTGCGGCTCTGTGCTGGAGGACAACATCATTGTGTCTGAAGTGGAGTTTGTGGAGACGGGAGGTGGAGGGTCGCTGGCTGTTGGACAGTTTGTCTCTGCAGAAGGTGAGAAAGACAGGACATTTGCTGCCTGTTGCTCTGCTGTCTCTCTAGATCTACTGTGGATTTCTTTCCTGTGTGGGTTTGAGCTGAACCAATACATGAAGGACAGACTAGTGGACTCACTGACTGGACAGTTTGCATGCAAATAGGGTTTTCTATTGTGTACATGTGTACTCGAATTATATATCCACTGTACATAAGTCAAAATGTGTGCAAATAATTCCCGAGAGCTGAAAGCTCAGCCTTCTCACTACTATAAGCTTTGTTTACCAGGGTCAGCTAATCAGAAAGAACTGCACTCTTAAAGGGCCTCAAGGTGCTTTTATATTGTAAGGTAAAGAGGCTACAATAATCAAGAGAAACCCCCAACAATCAGATGACCCTGTATGAGCAAACACTTGGCTGCAATGGGGAAACAAAATCTCCCTTTTAACTGGAAGAAATGTATGATAGAGCCAGGCTCAGGGAGGGGCAGCCATCTGCCAAGACTGTTGGGGTTGAGGGGAAGGAGATGGGACAAAAGACACAGACATGTAAAGTAAATGCAAGCTCAAAAAGAAAAAGTGCCCAGAGTCATCATTTGCTTACAGATTGGGCGCAAAGATTAGACACCTCCTCACATGCTGTACACATGTCTGAAAGTTGTGATCGGTTCAACCAGACAGTGATTTAGAGCTCCAAGGCACCAACAGCACACACATGCTCACGATGTTCAGTTCAGTTACTCGATTTAACAAAGCTAAAGCAGGGCGCAGCCTAGTCAGCACTCACCTTTCACCCGAACTTTACTGTGCACCTGTTGTCAATAAAAGGTAAATAAACAATTCTCTTATAAATGAGTGAAAAACTGGAACTTCTCTGTCATTTCATGGAATATTAGCAATAAAAATGTAATTACTTCAGGTATGTATTGCCTCCGTTGGTTAAAAAAACAACAACTGTAAAATGTGACAGCTGCAGTGATGGAGAGAAATTTGAGACTTAACTGCATCTGTTTTGCAAAGTTGTATAGAGGGCTGGACTGGAAGCTTTGGTGCGCTGGTTCTCGTCCCAAGATGCTTAGTTAACACCACTATAAGAGTTGTTTAGACGAATTACACTCAGTTCTCATAAAAGAGTTTTAGCTTTAGAAACCAAAACCATTTTTTCTAAATGGGGAAGCATGGGGGGTCCAGGGGGGAAAACCTCCCGAATGAGCATAGGAAAGTTGCATAGAAACAGGCTGTGGCTGACTTTTGTGCGTCTTTATTGTGGTTGCCATGGGCCTGTGGGATACCCAGGTGCTCGTCGCTGTCCTGTATATTTGCAAATCTGCCTCCCGCTAGCTACCAGGAGGCAGAATTGCCTGATTTGGCTAAAAAGAAACATGCTAACATTTATAATGGAACAATGTCAGACCAAAATGCACTCTAAAAGCTCTAATCTGCAGCATTGTCACTTTGGACTAAAGAGTAACAAAGAGGGTGCAATTAGTGCCAAATGAAATCTCTGTTCTAAATGCTGCTTGTGGCTGAAGGTGATCATGTGGATCAAAATGCTCCACTGCTGGTATAAATAAAATACTGATGGCTTTGGGTTTGTGTCTAATGATTTTACTGTTTACACAGTCTGACTACAAGAAAACTGGACAAATTCAACTGCTGACATCAAAGAAGCATAGACTGCATAAAAAAGATGGACTTTGCTACCAAGGTCTGAAAAGTGGCATCAGAACCTACATTCTTTTTCATGGCCAGTAGATGGCGATCTCTGTGGTTTCCACAAGAGATTTGGTCAAATGAAAGTGTGAGAAAGAGCCTTCCTGTTCACTCTCACTCTGTATGTCCTCAGTAAACTTTCCCAATGACCTTATGGTCTTAATTGCTGGGTTTGTGTCTTATTTAATACAATGTGATGTTTAATTTGTAAAATATGGTTACACTGGAGTAAAATAAGCTATAACGGAGTGTTTACTTTTGGTTGGGGGGACAAGCTGTTTGTGAGTGTCGAGGTGTGGGACCTGATTGACCTGAGGCGCTGACCAGAGGGCAGCGGGTCAAACAGGTGGCGGGCGGGTGCAGAGGGTCACCTGTGATGGCCCTGGTTATAGGAGGATCTGGCGATGGCTTCTTAAGTGTAAAGAAATGAAACTGTAGGATTTACTTTTTGTTTTAAAGCTGCAGCAGCGAGCTAAAAATGGACTGCAAAAGCTGTTTTGATTATAGATGATTGTGGTTTTCTGCCGTTATGTGTGACTGTGAAACATGGAAGCTTTCTGCTTTATTTTTTCATGTTAGTTAATCAAATGTCTGAGTAAACTCTGTGCTTGGTGGGACATTGTATACGTTTTTAAATATCAAACAATGAAGATGATAATGCTAAGACAGGAAATTTGGCAAAGTTCTTGTTTCTAAATAACTAAATAAAGAAAAAAGAAGAGAAACCCACTTTTTGAGTGTTTTGCTGAAAATCTGTTTCTGTGCATCTTCTGTCCTTCAGATGGAGCCAGACATCCATCCTTTGGTGACGGGCACTTCTCAGGGATGGGCAAGGCATCCCGAGCTCAGACGCTGCAGAGAGGTGAGTGGCCATTAGATGGCACCACACTCCACCTTAAAAGCCTACGGGAGTTTAAGGTGCATGGTGTAACCTCAAGTCAAAAGCAGTTGCGATGCTGTGTGAAATATAAATAAAAACATAATGGTTTGTTTGCAGATCTCATAAACACACATTTAATTTTACAATAGAACACAGAAAACTGAGACTTTACTACTTAACAACAAAAAGCTGAAAACGTAGGCACTCCAAAGAAAGAGCTGGAGCATTGTGCGCTGGCAACAAATCAGTAACATGACTGGACATAAAAATAGCATCTTACAGAGACAGAGGACCTCCACATTCACACATTTACAAATAGTAGAGCAATTTCAGAATAATGTTCCTTAGTGTAAAATTGTCATGTCTCATAATATCATACAAAGACTGAGAGATGCTGGAGAAATCTGTGTATTAGATGGATTGGATGTTGTGTGCTTGTGGGACTGCTTTAATAACACGCATAATTCTCTCATGCAAATCAGCGGATTGTCTCAAGAACTCAAACACAAATCCCCGTGCCAACCATGAATGCAGATTGAAGTTCTGTCATGCAGTGAAGAGGCCACATGTGCACACGCTGCCTTCTCTGGGCCAAAGTTCACGACTGAGGAAAATGGAAGCTGAATTGAAATCAGCCCTCAGTTCAAAAGCCTGCATCTGTGATAGTACGGAGGCGCTTCAAATAGTTGTTGAAACATCTGTATGCTCTATTGTTTATGAAATATAGGTTTGAGATTTGCAAGTCAATGCATTCTGTTTGTATTTACATTGCACGTGGTATTGCTGCATACTGCAAACTTTGTTTTCTTCATTTGCTTCTTTAGTGTCGGGATCACCCTTCAACACGTGATCCGAGGTTGCGTTTTTGTGTGTTCATGCAAAATGCAGCTTGGGCAATAAATGAAGGAGGAGACGACTTTAGGTCTTTTGCACGGGCATCAATAATTCATTTAATCTTATTTCATGTCGAGCGTAAACTTCTCCTCTGAAAGCAGCTCCGTTGCAACACGTTGGTGTCTTTGACTTCACTCTAGTGATTAAAGTCTTTATATTTTCAGAGGAGGTTTACTTTGAATCATTTTATGCTGTTTGCTCAAAGCCCTCCTCTCGGAAGTGCAGCTTTGAGCAAACAGCAGCAGCTTGCTTTCGATTTACTTTACAGTATGAAACTATTATATTGTTTGTTCATTACACCCAGCACTCAGCAGGGTTATGTACCAGGAGAGTTCACAAGAACACTGTAAACCCCAAAAGACAGTCCCAATAAGCAGTGTGTGTGGTCAAGCTTTTTACGTGATAAAGCTTTAAGTTTGTAAAAGTTGTGAACAATAATAAACTGTCATTTAGAACAAGTCTCTTATGGAGTTTTTGCCTTTTAAGGGAAAACTGTGAGGCTCTGTTTGCAGACTCCAGTGTGGGTTTTTATCAATCACTTGTATCCATCTGTGATATGTCGTACCACATCGTGTGACTCAACCTCAGCTTGTCATTTAGACCAGCACATGCATGCTCATGTGATTGTGTGTTGTCAGGCTTGGTGTAAGTGACGGTTATTTCTGTACGGAAGCTGCTTTTATTTAGTTGAAAATCCTCATCTATCCAATATGAGGTTGTGGGAGGGGGCTGGAGCTATCCCAGCTAATGTTGGGTTAGAAGTGTTTTAAAAGGTCATTTTACATAAAAATGTATTGAGGCAGATAAAGTTTTAACAGCAAGAAACTTCAAGCAGAAGCAGGCTCAGGGAGGGGCTGCCATCAGCTGTGGGTGAGGGGAAGCCTGACTCTTCAGCTGCTAAATTTGCTAGTATTTTAAAGGCGTTTTTTCACTTGTAGTTCGTTTATTCTGGTCCGAATCAGTTGGTGAGTTTGTAAACTTGTAGCTTTTGTTTTGTAGCTTGGTTTTTTTTCACACAGAGAAAAATCCAATTAAACCAAACGGCATCACTACAAACCACGTGAGGATGTTCAGTCCCCTTATTGGCCAGATGTGTCGGGGTGGAAGAAAGAACCACAGCTGGGATTAAAAAGACTAAACACTGTGAAAGCACCCCAACTTCTAGTTTTTGTGTGTGCTTACTGTTTTGGTGTTATGCCTTTTTTGGTTGTACCCAGCAAGATTTTTGTTTTAGTGTTTTCTGTGAAAACAGCTGAGTGTTGTGGTGAAAACACCACTGAGAGAGCAGCGATGGTGAGCCAAAACAGTCTTAACAGTGAATTTAAAGTCACCATCATGTGCTGTAAAGCTTTGAGGAGCTGCACATTTTCTGTCACTTAACCAAGTGACGTAAAAGCTCACCTTTCTGAAAGCAGAGTGTTTCTAGTACATTTGAGCATGCTCTCTTCATCCGAGGTGGTGTGAGAGTTGTTCCAAATGGGAATATCAGTATTCACTTTGACTCCAGTGTCCTCCCAGAATGTTTTTTTTTTTTTTCTTTTTCCTCTTTTGGATTTTCTTTGTGTGTAGGATAAGCTGCTGTCAGCTGATATTATCAACCTGTCATGCTCTAAATTGAAGTGCTGGGGGCCCCTGTGGGAACCTTGAGGGGTCTTGGTGGGTGTCCCTGGAGCTCTTGCTGACACGTGACTTTAGTCTAAAAACGCATCAGCAACTTGCAGACACAGACGAGCAACCGCTTGGCTGCTGGCAGCCGGACAGAGAGCCCAGACGTCGACTGCCAGCAGCTGGTTACCGCAGCGACGACCGTCTGCTCAGCTGATGATGTTTAATGCGACAGAGCCACGGAGTCACAGGGCTGTCAGACTGCAGCAGGCGCTGAGTAACGGCAGTGTGCGCATGGATGCAGGGGATTAGCAGGGAGCGATAGGAGGGTGTGGATTGAGGAATACTGCTGTTAAATGCAGCGTGTGTGTTTTGTAACTGGGTGAGGATGGAGGCTTGTATGTAGGATGTTTCTACCATGCTGTTTGTGTATGTGTGTGGGGCTTTATTCTGCTGTCACATGGAGTCTGAAGGATGGTTTGAACATTTAGGAAAGGATAAGCTTGCAGCTTATACATGCTCATCAGCAAGGAGATACAGTGTGGATATAACTGGGAACAACATAAGAGTATAAAAACACCTCGCTCTGTTGTCAAACAACTTGGGTTTACATTAAATATCCTGACGCTACGGAGGGCAGCCTCGTCCATGTTTTTACACTGAACATCATCATGTGGTGGAGAGGAAGCAGGAGCTGCCCGGTCCCCAGCTGAGGTCAAGATTAGTTTTCATACATAAAGCCTTGATTATTGAGTGACCTCACTGTGCGAGTCCACTGAGGTCCGCTCGGTATGAATCACGTTCATTTGATCATCACAGTGAGTGCGAGAGTGCATGTCAAAATAGTGCCTGCCCTCATGTTGGTGACCGTGCAGACCATGTGGTCCACAGTGAAGTATAATCAAGGCTTTAACTAATGATGTTTATATAATAATAAACCCTTTGCATGGAAGTCGTGCACATTCATTCATGAACAGGCAGATAGCCGAAGATGCCACGTTGCTTGCGTATGAGATTGTTGGATTAAAAGCAGTTAAATGTAGGAAAAAGTACTTGAATGGTTGAATGTTGTGAGTATAAACATGTTTAAAGCACCAGTGTGTGCTATATAAGAGCCAGTTCATTTACCATGAAAAGATATCCTAGAATTTCACTCACCTCCACGTATAAACTTTGTTGATAGAGCAAGCCATAATAGCCGTAATATCAGTTATTTTAAGTAAAATAATAAGTCCAAGTTTAATTTGAGTCATGAAGGGGATGATTTTTAATGTATGACATTTGATGTCCTTAGTTCCCAGTGAAGTTTTTAATTTTACTGCAACTATTTATATTATTTATGTATTTAAAGTAAAACAAATCATACATGCCAGGATCAATTTTGGGAGATTCAAACCAAACTCCTTGATTGCCTCCTGTTGAAATCTCCAACAGTGGGTTAAATTATTCCACAGGATGCTAAACAGTGTTTAGTCAGCCTCTCAGACCTCCATATTTCACACCATGTAGTAAATGAATGTGATGTTTATTCTTAAGATACTCGAGGCTCTTTAAATACTGGTGTTGTATTTTAAATTAACCTTGTTAATGAAAACTATTGATTTATTTTCCTATTCACAATTCAGTTCTAATGCTAATATTAATCATTATATTGATATGAGACAAACATAAAAACACCATGGCCCAGACCTCCCTCTCCTCAGCCACCTCCTCTGGGTTATTCAGGGGAACACACAGCATCTGTTGTCAATGAATATGTGGTACAACTACTCAGTGGGCTTTCTTGCTTGTGCGGTTGTTGGTGTGTGGACCAGAGAAGTATACAAAGAGCTGAAGAGCTGTTTTTCATTGTGTACTTTTTAGTCTTTTTTGGGGGAGGGGTGGGGGGTTCTCTTGGTCCCGGAGAACTCCCCTCTCGCTCGCTTACCTATTTCAGTTCCCTTGTCAACCAATCAGGTTTGACTGATGCACAGCATCCTCCACATCCATAACATACATTTGAGGTATTGGAGGAATGCATACGAGCGTGTTTGCAGTGGTAGGCTGTCCAAAGGGAAATGCATACGCACACAAATGCAGTTGCTGGCCTATAAGGGAGCAGCAAAAATTAGCATTTGGAGGGCAACAGGATTTATGACCTGTACTGCAGCTGACCACCAGGGGATGGTCGAGACGTTCTGGCTTCTTTTTTGCGGAGCTGTCATGCTGTCCATCTTTTTATACAGCGACTGTGCTTCCAACTTTTTTTCACAGGTTTATATGCTGAAATAATGGAAAATGACTTAAAAAGAAACAAGTGAGGGACGGTGTTGTCCTCGTGTATTGGTTATTAGTAATGCCAGTAGATCAAGTTTTTGTCTTTAGTCTGTATGCTACGCTAACCATGCTTCAGTTCTACTATGCAGGGTTGAGAGTAACATTGATCTTCTTAAATATTTCCTAGTAGCTGAGCACTGGTTTTGTGTGTGGGATGCTGTGTTGTG